GGTATTTGCACACGTTCTCTGGATTTTATCCAGAGTCCCGTGCTAGTCCAGCGATTTCGTTTACCCTGTCATAACCGTTTCGAATCGGATACTCATTTTAAAAGCAGTTTTTAAAAGCAGCTTCCTTTTCACAAATAATATTGTGACGGAGTCACACAGTAGAAGAAAGTTGAGTTTCCGAGAGTAAGCTTATACAAACTCTCAGTGAGCGGCAGTCCACAGGTCTCTTTTTACTTAAAGAGAGCGAGATGACCAATTAAAGAGAGAGTTTATGCTGAGTATATTTATAGGTAGGCTAAGCTTGATTTAATTATACAAACAAGTAGTCACCTATAGAAAAGCAATGTCATCCGCAAATGGTTGGCCTCGGACAACCTTGGTACTTTGTACCAAACATCCCGAAGTATGACGTGTCACACTTCATGTAACTAGGGGTGCACTTAGGGCTACGTACCCCGTTACCACTTAGGCTCGGTTTACCGACCAATCAGAATGAAGAAGTGTACGTCACAAAATTTTATTCATTCTCAAAGTCAAAAAACATCGACTTGGCAGCGCGAGCGCGGCTGAGGCTCACTTCACAGTTAAAGCCTCGAGCAGCTGTCTGTGCGCTCCTCTTCTTGGTCTCCGCTGTGACTGTTTGTCATGACTCGTGGCACTGCGAAGAGCGGTGCGAAGACACGCTCCAGGGCTGCTGCCGGAACGGCGCAAGCCAAGAGCACTAATTCTCACGGCAAAAGCTTGGCACTCCAGGAGGCTACTAAGGTGGCCTCCGAAGAGATCGGCTCAACGGGTGACGCGACTGTGGCCAAGAGAACAAGCAAGCGCCGCAGTCCGTCGCCCTCGGCCTCCCCAGACAGCCGTCCGAACCCTCGGTTCGCTGAACGTCAGTTCGACTCAGCAGTGAGGACGAAGCCGAGTCCGGAAGTGTGGTGTAGCGGGATCAGCAAAATCTGCGAGATTGCCAGATCCAACTTACCAACTGCGCCCAGACACCGACTAACGGAGGGGGTCCCCCGATGATCCGTGTTCTGCTGAACTTTCCTCACCTTGTGTACCCGTCGGTAGGGCGGGATCTGCTCTCTCGGTAACTTCCGAAGAGTTCAAGTGGTGAAGCTTGAGTGTCTTGGCGAGACGTGGGGATGGGGTGGAGCAGCAGTGGAAAATCTTCACTCTGCGTCCGTGGATGGTTCCGTATCCTAAGCGAATATTCGAGCTTATGGATCCGGGGCCTAGATCGTGGATCTAGCCGTAGGGTTGCCTTGCGGGTGTGTTCCCTTGCCTTTGTGTTGTCCTTTAAGTCGTACTTGCCGCCTCCTGTGACGGGATCTTGAGAGTTGAGAACGTCTAGGGTGTAACCGACCAAGTAGTAAATTCGGTT